CATTCTTATCATCTTTCGTAGAAACTGCAAACACAGGCAAACTTTCATATCGCTTGATCTTAGGGTTATTGTATTCAAACTTGGAATCTTCATGATAGGCATATTTGTCGTTTATAATATTAAACAATTTATCGAGTTCACCTGTTTTGAGATTATATGCTTCGATTTTGTTGCTTTTTCTACAACTGATGGAAAACAAGTAATGATCTATTACGCAATTCTTCAATCTGCATTCAACGATTTCTTCGGATATTGTATCTTTTTTTGCCAATTTGTGCATTGGTGGTGGATAAGGATAATCGGTATTAGTGCCTTGATCAATGGAAGATATTTTTCTAAAGTCATTTCGTCGTAATACGATAAGTTCGTCCTCATCAAGAAATTTAATAATTCCGTTTCCAGTTCCGTGCAATCGTTCATGTTTTTCTACAATATCTGAATTATATGTGAACAAAAAGATATCTTTTGTACTGAAACGCTCTAAGGTTAAATCATTGCTTGATTTAAAGATTACATCTATTTCGGGATCCGATTTGTTCTGATTAAATGAAAGGTTATAAAAAGAAAAAGCAATTTTACAGATGCGTCTAGTAATATCGATATCAGAAATTGCAATTGAGAATTTCAGTCCCGTGTTTATCTCAAAGTATCCGATAGTTGGCTTTTTGTCGTTTTGCACAGGTTATGATGTTGTTCTATGTGAATTCTTATGCTTATCTCGAAGTATCCGATAATTTGCTTTTTGTCAATTTGCATCAGATTATGATGTTCTACGCGAATTATAACTGTAGATATCATCAAAAATTATTCTATGTATTTATTTAAGGGGAGTGACATATATTACATAATATCGAGTTACTATAGAGGTAATCCCCCTCCCCCATGTGAGATTTTATTATATTTTAATTGGCTAATTATTTTTGATCACGTGGAAGATGAGATTTTTGAGACCCCCTCCCCCCTGATAATTACGTAATATATGTCACTCCCCTAATAGATTAATAAGGATAGATCTTACTTTTTTCCTCATCTATGGATTCAGATAAAGTAACAACACTTTCGCCATTTTGGCTTATTTCGGCTTTGAATATTTTGAAGGAAGTATTTTCATATGGATCACTTATATCGTTTTCTTAAGATTAGCAAAATTTAATATTAAAGCTTGCAAAAATAATTACGCGTGCATACATTCGTGTTCTTACGTTCTTTCTTATCATTTGATGTATCATTAATTACAATTCTCTCTAAAGGTATAACTTTTTCCTCGTATGACATTTTTTTTATGAAGTAGATTAATCGAGTAATGATGTTTAGAAAAATGGCTGGACGTATTTAAAAATTCAATCGTCTAAATAATTCACAAATTTTTACGACTGATTTTATAGTCAATTTTCAACGACATAATATCGATATTGATATCGATATATTTCCTCACAATCGCCATTTAACGTTAAAGCGATTTTGGATAATTTAAGCTTATAGTTATTTACTGTTGCTCATTGTTTTACTATTTTTGGATTGAAATAGGGTGGTGCTTATTCACGGTAGATTTCGACAATGAATGAGGAATGAGAATGAGAAATGCTATAAACTGCATTTTGTGTACTGAAATGAAACACGACACCAGTTTCGTTCCTTACTAAACGCTTTAAAACTCTCTAAAGACGTTAGCGTTAATATGTTCTATAGCTATACATCGACATTATTCGTGTTACATCCGATACTTTATTTCAATCATTCTATTGAAAAGTTTTTAAAGTAGTTTCACTAATTATCAAATTTTGTTAGATAAGGTGCTAGCTTTCAAAGGCTAAATAATATTTAAAATTTGCGCCGAGTATTTTACTTAGAGGTTGAAAGCCAGTTGTCATAGTAAAATGATTTTACGATTGGATTGGTCAAATATAGGCATAAATAAAATCTTAGTAAAAAAACAATTATAAAAATTTATTTTAATAATTCTATTATCTGCATTGATTAGAAATATGCATGCATAATAGTGTGTTTTCAAAGATCCAATGTTATTTTTAAATCACTACAATTAATCCTGTTAAATTGAAGCACCAATTAAACCTGTATAAATTGAATTTGATTTCAGAAACAGTTATAATAAACCCGCCTCGATAAATCGAAGTTGGTTCAGGAATAGTTATAGTGAACCTGCTTCAATAAACCGAATTTACTAAATAAACCTCGATAAACTAAATTTTTCAAACTCTTCGATTTAATAAGGTTGACTGTGTAGTTGTAAATATATTCTATCTAGTAGCATCTGATAAAGATATAAATGCTATGTATTAGTAGTCTGAGATTGTTGAGCTGTTAGTGCAGAAACAAGTACACATGCAAGTTAATATAACGGACTTGTCCGTTCCATTCGTGAAAATTTTAAAAAATCCGTTATATCGAAATTTAATTAAGAAATCCGTTATATCGATAAAATTCGGTCTGGACCTTAATCCGTTATATCGATAGTCCGTTATATCGACTTGCACTGCGTATTGTGTTTTAGTTAAAGCGTTATTGTAAGTAAAACTTCTTTATACGTAATACACGTAGATAGAAAATTGTAAATCATAATCATTTAAATCAATAGTATTATTAACAGTTTGCAGGTACATCACATAGCGTTGCATACTATGTGAGAAAGAAATCTTAACATACCCGGTCCGATGTTGGGAATAACAAAATTATTCTCAGTATAGGATCAGAGTAGTGTTATCGTTATACGGTAATCAACTCATAACACATTAATCATATGACATTGCAGGCTTAAGAATCTATGGTTTTATTAACAATAGTGGCTATAGGTTTCCTTTCAACATATATTTATAACACGTAGCAGGAATAGCACCACTTTCGTGATAAAAAGTCACGAAGTTTGTTAAACTTCCGAATAAGAATATTGACCTACACCTTAAGAAACACATTTATTATAGTTTTTTTTTGGATTATACTGCGCATAGAACTGTTTAGATACCTTGCTGCTGTTCGTGTCATTAATTATTAATATACTCTTTTCTTTTTTGGTGTATACTGTAAATGAGAGGTAATAAAAGAAGTTGATAGAGCGGAAAAAAAAACTGCACATGAGAACGTATTTTCAGCATAAAAGTCACTAGAATAATTTTGTATACGAGCTGTCGCTGTGGTGTTTTTCGGGAAGCATTTAACGTGTTGTTGTGACGGAAAACGCATAATTAGAATTAGATTTACGTGGTGTTATAAGTAGAATAATACGTCTGTTAATTTCTGAAATTTATGCACAATATAAGGTAAAATGGGGTGTTGTTGCGAAGTAACGATACCTCAATAATTAGCTATCAGAATCGCATGGAAATACCACCATTCGATTCGCCTAGGCATGGCAAATCGAATGGTGGTATTTTCATGCGATCTCGATAACTAGTTATCGAGTTATCACACTGAAAGTCATCATATGTGAGATTTCCGCCAATTTAAAGGGCAATATCTCGATACCCTGTGAACAAATCACGTGAAAATACCACCATTCGATTTGTCATGTCTAGGCGAATCGAATGGTGGTACTTTCATATGATTTCGATCACAGGGTATCGAGATATAGTCTTTGAAAATCACCGTATGCCAAAATTTAATATAAATTGGCGAAAATCCAATATATGGGGGCGAAGATCTCTCGATATCCAGCGATCGGAATCACACGAAAATACCACCATTTGATTCGTTTAGACATGAAGAATCAAATGGTGGTAGTTTCGTGTGATTCCGATCGCTAGCTATCGGGGTATTACATATTTTCTTTACTTCGCCAAAATCCTCCCCCCGCCCTCCAAAAATTAGCAGTACACAAAATGATCATTTTTTATTGTCACGTGTTGTAATTTTTGCTAGACTTATACAGAATTTAGTTAGCCATTATAAATATACTAATATTTGTACTATCTGTAAAAAGTTTTCCTAATCACGATTTTAACTTCGCTAAAATACCCCCTTTTACCTTATATTCATAGATAATTCAGCATTAAAAAAAGTAAATAAATTGTTGATACAAAAAAATACTCTAATCTGTTATTATTTTTGGATGATCCAATTAAAAAATCATTCTACACCTTTTTCAATATTCTCAAAATTCCACTAAGAGATGTTTCTAAGCCTTTTATACGACCTTCTAACTTTTTTTCTGTATTTCCTCATAATGTTCGTCGCTTGTTTCTTCTTGGATTTCTTAGGTTTTTCAGTTCACTGGAATAGAGTAATATACGTATCTAATTTGCGAAAATGCATCAGGATAATTTATTACGTATAAGTGACGCATTTGTACGACGCTCTTTTCCTCAGAGCTGCTTCATCGAGTGCTTTTCTAAAATAGATTATATTAATTCAATAAAATTGTAAGCTTAATAAAGTATAAAATTACCCCCATTAAACTGATCAGAAGATTTTGCATAAGAGTAGCCTGTCAAGTACCGTGAATAACTGGCCAAAAATTCCAATTTTCGATTTGATCCCAGTGTCCACTGGTCCAAAAGTACACTACTTCGATTAATCTATCCAAATTATAATACATGTAGTAATTACAGTGGCTCACACATGTAACGGAACACGAAAATTAACTTTTTAGAATTTTTATTTCCATGACTATTAATTAGTTTGAACAAAATAAACAAGTGTTCATTTGAAACCTTGAAATCTCTAATATTTTTTAAAAATAATTTGACAACAGATTATTTTGTGAAATAGAGTGATTTAAATCAAAATTTACAATTAATAAATTTCTCACATCAAAGAACTTTTTTTCTATGACGAATTCAAATTTGGACCACTAAGTAAAAATGTTCTACTCTATGAAATCTACTTATTTACTAATTTTCATAAAAATCGGCCTAATTTATATAGATATTTAAGAACCTAAAGTCGGGATCTATGCTAGAAGCATTAATACATGAATTAATGCTCCTAGCATAGATTTGGTCCTTCGATCTCAAGTCTCGGTGAATTTTGGGCCAATTTTTATGAAATTGGTAAATAGATAGATTTCATAGAGTAGAACATTTTTAATTAGTGGTCCAAATTTGAATCCGTCATAGAAAAAAAGTTATTCGATGTGAGAAATTTACTAATTGTAAATTTTAATTTAAATCACTCTATTTCACAAAATAATCTGTTATCAAATCATTTTTAAAAATATTAGAGGTTTCAAGGTTTCAAATAACATTTTTATTTTGTTCAAACTAATAGTCATGGAAAGAAAATTAATTTTCGCGTTCCATTACATGTGCGAGCCACTGTATCTGATCTATCCGTCCAGTCTAAATCTTGCGTCATATTAAATTTGTATATAGCTGTTTGATTGTTGTGATTGATTGTCGTAAAATCTTCAGTAAACGTTGATGAATTAGGAAATACACCTAGCCGGGGGCAAATCGTAAAAGTAATAACCTGAAAATAAAACAATCAATTTTAGTGTGAACAATAGGAAGAACGCTAAAAAAAAAGGAACAATCACTTACTTACATAGAGCCTGCGAAGCCTACAATAATAAATATATGCGAAAAATACGTTTACGATAGACTTATATTTATATCGAATTAATTATATATTTACTCAGATGAAATAGCTTAGAATTAAGAACTTACATGGCAAAAATCGCATTTAGCAAACTAAAAATAATAGCAATTAATATCAAGGATAGCAAGTAATTGAATTACTACTTACAAAAACGATCCATAATCATAACACGGCAAATGAATAAAAGATAACCTCAGCTTGACATCGCTCATTATGCCGTTGACAATGAAGAGATTCTTTTCTTGTATTTCTTGTGCAGTCAGCACGGAAAGTGATGGCGGTGATACTGACTGCTGATTTTTCGTCAGGCGGCACCTGCCCGAAAGCGATTGACCTTGTGCAACATATGTGACAATTTTCACGTGTGTTTTGTAACCGAAACGATTTTTATTACCTTTAAAAATGTCTGACAACCCCCGTAAAATTCAATCGTGAGACCGTAAAGAAATTTTGGCGAACTGGCTGGCGCAATGCTAGAGAAATTTCGCAAAAAACTGGTATTCCACTTCGCTCTTGTACGTTACGTGGCTTCGCTTAGTAAAATGGACAAATTCCAGTTATTCGTCGCCCTGGTCGTCCATATAAAATTTCGTCTGCTATGCGCCGCTACATCGGTCAAATCGTAAATTCAAATCATTTTCTTACGGCGGCTCGAAGAAACACACCCAGGCAGGCTCTGGAGTAGGTGTGCAAACAGTCCATGACAAGCTTTCTAGGCTCGGTTA